CGGGTTGTTAGGCGGATAGACGTGGTTGACGAAGCCCGCGTGTAGCAAACGAATGAACCGGACGTGCGCTTCGTACGACTGTGGGTTTTCCTGTATCTGAGCAAATAAGTCGGTCGCCTGCCGCTGTGCGTTGGGGACCAAAGAGCTATCCAAGTAGCTTCGTTGGGCGGTCTCCCGGGGACCGTCGGACATCGCGATATCGAAGGAGGATCGGGGAGTGGGCGTGTTGTGGGAAATGGGGTTGACGTGAGGGAACATGGTGGAGGGTGACAGCTGGCTTTCGTAGGACTCGGTGCTGCGCAAGAGAGGGGCGCCGGGACGCTGAGGCTGGTGATGCTGCATCGACGCTAGGTCGGCCAGTGTGTCCATACCTGGAGTGGAGGGCTGTCTCGCAGGCGGCAAGTCGGTTGCCGGGGGCGTTCCGCTGCCACTGCCACTGCCACTGCCTATGCTAGGACCAACCTTGGGGCTGTTGGCGGGCGGTGACGGATCAGGCAGTTGATTCGGGGCGTACACATGTTGCGCCAGCGGCGAGGAGGTCATACCCTGCTTCGTTGCGCCGGGACGAGACTTTCGCAAGGGTTTTGGCTGCGGCGGGCCTGAGACGGGAACCGAGGCATTGTTGACAGGCGTAGACCCGGCGGTGGGCGTGGTGCGCCCGGACTGTGAATTGGAATCCTGGGGCGAAAGGAGGGAGTTGATGTCCATCATCAAGGCTGTGGGATGACGGGGTAGAAAGACGAGAGCGAAAACCGGGGCGGCAGATATCAAGCAAAAGTCCAAGCGCCAGCTATGGTGCTGACGTAAGGAAGTTTTCGAAGTGGAATGAGAGACTAAGGGAATAGACGAAGGAGAGAAAAGAAAAACTTCGAATTAGAGAGGAACCGTTGCAAGTGACCTCATCAACGAGTCCATTCCTGCACTCGTCACAACCTGGCCAGATTCTTCTTTTTTTCCTTCTTCTTCTGTGTCTTGAGGAACCGAGAGATGGAGTGGCGTATTCTTGCTTTTGAATATCCTTGTCGGTCTGGGTAGGGTGGGATGGAAGGGGGTCCGATCGTCACTTATTCGGGGCCAGTTGAGTGGGCTGGCCGACGGCAGGAAGAAAACAGAGGAACTTCAGAAAGTAAAGAACAAGCGGCGGGGGAAAATAAATAAAAGGAGAAAGAAAAAAAAAAAAAAAAAGAAAAAAAAAAACAACAGTGAAGGCGGAGGGGGAGAAAGGTTTCAGGTGGGAAAGTAATCAAAATAGAAAGTAATCCAAAGCAAAAGCAACCAAACAAATGCAAGTGATGCGGGATTTTGAAGATCACTGGTATCTGTTCAGGCCTTTGGTTTGAGTTGCAGGTGGGAGGAAGCTTGACAGGTTGGGCGCTTTGCCAAAGACTGCTAAAGTGAGGCGCTGGGCGGAGGTAGGAGAACAACTGCGGAGAGAGCTGCGAGCAACAAGATCGCGCTCTAGATTTATTTATCTTGGGTTTTGAACCTCTGATGGAGGGAGAAGGCGGGAGGGGAGGGTGGGATAGACGAAGTGGGTGGGTGAAGGGAGGGGGGAAAGAGAAGATAGTAGGTAATCAGATGCGGTAGTAGAGAGGAGAGACTCTAGGGAGGGAGGATGAGGATGAGGGGAACAGAGAGACAGTCTCCAGCACACACTACTCACTCCAACCAGACGAACTGATCTTGGTCCGAGCGATAGAATGGAAGCTAAAATGGGCAAGTCAGCGGCGGTGGAGTTTGGGCGGGAAAAAGTTGGGGAATTATTCTTGGGTGGATAGGAATTGGGGAATTAGAGGATAGAGAAATTCACACGCACGGGATGTCCCTTTCGGGGGGAGGGGAGGGAGGTTGATGAGGTGGTGAGTGGGTTGAGAGTAAGAGGGAGGAAGGGGAAGGAGACGGAGAAAGAGGAGGAGGAGGAAGAGTCGGAAGAGGATCGGGAGACTTGAAGAACTAGGTAGACTAGACACCATGAGAGGGAGAGAAAAAAAAAACACGAATGACAGGAATGGATGAGGCAGAAGAAGGCAGGCAGTGGATCGACGCGGTGGAGTTGGAGCAGTAAAAGAAGGGTAAGTTAGGGAAGGGAAAAAAATAACAATCAAATAACAATGGCAACCACCACAATTCTCTTTGTTGAACTACACACGAGCTATATAGAAACCGCTGAAACCTGTAAGTTAAGACGTATCAGGTCGATTCCAGTTCACTGATTTCTAATTCACCAGCTGTTTGCCAGTCTACCAGATTATGGAAGTATGTATACGGAGTATGCCGAGTGGTTGACTCTCACTGGCGAAGAAAGATGTTTTCCAAAAGGTGAGTGTAGTTCACCCCCACTATGAGAAATGACATCGGATCTCTTGATGGCGGATGTACTGTGTAAGTTCCCATTTGGTACATGGTACTAACTGAACTGCTGCTCCATCTGATATCGGATAAGACAACTTGGAAGTGAATGACCTCGAAGTCAATCACAAATGTTGATTGTTGGGATACACCTACCGTAAAGTCCTCATAACTACTCCGTACCCTCCTTCAAAGTGCACGTTGCTTGATGACGGCCGAGGATCTCGACTGCGATCGATTTCACCGGTTGTGTAACCGGCGACAGGGGAGGACAGCATCAGCATCCTTCGACGTAATGGCCGCAGCAGCACACTTTCCGATCTGCCGATGTCTCTTGTCTCTTGTCTCTTGTGCTGTCGCCGGGTGACCACCACTAACTTACCACCACCTGGAACACTTGACCCTGACTGACACCTTCTCCGCTCCTCCGGGGAAAAAGGAAGTTGTCCCGTGGTGTGTGACGGGTATGAGAGGTGTGCCTAGATCGAGAGACCGAGAGGTTGGTTGGCTGGCTGAAGGATTGGCTGGTGCTAGCTACACGATTTTGTTCCGGTCGGAAGACATGCAATAAAGGCATGCAAGATTCTTAATCCATATCAATGAAGTGAAATCTTTCATCATGGCATCGAGCATGGATCTCATTTCACATCCTTTAAGCAGGACAGGAAACTCTAGGGCTGGGGCGGCTGTTCCTTAATTGGGTTAAGCGGGCTGCTGAGGTACTGAGTAGGTATCCTACCTGCAGTGAGAGAGAGAGCGAGGGAGGAAAGAGAGAAAAAGGACGCAGGCTCGGCCTATGAGGTAATTGTACAGCAAGCCGTCGGGCCTTATTGGCGGCACTAGATTCCAGTTTGATCCTCGATAAGTTTCAAGGTTACCTAGTACTACTACTGAAAGCTCCCGAGTCAGCTTGTTAGTAGTTAGCCTAAGGTGGGATTTGAGTGGTAGCACATGACCCTGCAATGAAAGAGCACCGCCTGGGGCCCGGGCGGCGGCGGTCGACCTTGCCTGTTCGGGCGCTGGCGGGAACTCACTAGCCGTTGTGGCTAGTGAGGGCTACCGCTGTGGCTAGTACCTAGACTCCAGCTCTCTGTGGCGGTGTCATTAGTCGTTTGTAGTTGCCCCATTTACCAGGCAGCAGGGCAGCCAGGCAGCAAGGCAGACGTGCTCCTTCCATCCAGACAAACCACTCGCGCAAAAGCCAAGCCCATCAATCAACCGACACTTTTTTCCCTCAAGCATCTCCGGATCCCCGTTGCACGCAAATCCCTCTCTTCCCCCTCCCTTTCCCCCTCATCCTCCCCCATCATGGCCTCAATGGGTTCAATCCAACCCTACGGGCACCTCATCCGGTCAGGTAGGGACATCCGTGACAACTATCCCCTCCCATCCCCAATGCTTATATGCGTGACCCCATCCATTAACACCAAACAAACCTGCAGCCCGGACCAACATCACCTACGTGCCACGCCGCACCCTGACCTCAACAGTCATCCGGTATGCCCAGGAGGGTAACAACGACAGCAACGCCCCAAATAACAAGCCCAGCCCCGAGTCGCAGCCGCAGCAACCACCCTCCAAGCCGTCCGCCCTCTCCTCCATCAAGAACTTCTTCTTTGGCGGCAGCAAATCCGATGCTCCGAAGCCCACGATCCGCCCGGTCACCGCGCCCCCGAAACGCGAGGGCTCTCTCGGCACGGACTCGATTTTCTCGGAGGATGAAGCCGGCCCGAAGCTGATCACCACCGGGCGCACCCCGACGAGCCGCAAGACCGCCAGCACCAGCGGCACCGGCGCCACCGCCGACGGGAAAGGGCCCACGGAGGAGGAGCGGGCGGCGGCGGCGGCGCAGCGGACGTTCGCGGTCGAGAAGCGCGACCGGTCGATGCTGCAGGCGGTGCTGGACCCGAAGCCGCGGACGCGGCTGCGGTGGGAGAAGAAGATGGTGATCCGCGAGGTGCGGCGCCGGGGCCGGCTGACGCGGGCGGAGCAGATCATGCGCACGGAGCGCGAGTCGCTGGTCAAGTCGCACTTCTTCAAGACCTCGATCAAGAAGCTGGGCCCCCTGTGCCGCCAGATCGCCGGCAAGAGCATCGACGAGGCCATCCTGCAGATGCGCCTCAGCAAGAAGAAGGCCGCCAAGGACGTCCTCGAGCACCTCAAGCACGCCAAGAACATCGCCATCGTCCGCTCCGGTATGGGGCTGGGCGCCGTCGTCCCCAAGGTGGAGGCCGACGAGGCCGAGGAGGCCGCTCCCAAGAAGCCCACCCCCCAGCCCGTCACCATCACCCTCAAGGACGGCTCCAAGAAGACCGTCACCGACCCCACCGCCATCTACATCGACCAGGTCTGGGTCAACCGCGGTCCGTACGGATACGAGGCCGACCACCGCGCCCGCGGTGTCATCAACATGATGCGCCCTCCCCACACCGGTATGTCCGTCCTGCTGAAGGAGGAGGCCACCCGCATCCGGGAGTGGAAGGAGCGCGAGGCCCGCGATCTCCGTCGCCGCAAGGCCCAGCTCTGGACCCCGCTCCCGGATCGCCCCATCACCCAGCAGAACCAGTACTACTCCTGGTAGATGGGACTGATCCCGAGAGCGGTTGTAATCTTTCTTTTCTCTCATCCTTTTCATGCCAACAAAACCGGGTAGCTTCTTTGTTTCGTGGTTGTTTTTTGTCTTCGACCTGGCGTTCCGTCCACAAACCTGTATTATGTCTCTAGAACCTTGAAACCCCCTCCTTTACCCTGAAGAAAGCAACTGTAGCATTTCTCTCTTCGTTTTTATGTGTTTCTGGGCAGCTTTGTTTTCTTCTTGTCGGGTTGACATGACCTGATAGATAGGTAGGTAGTGTGTGTGTTGGGGAGTGTTTGATATGCATGGCATCTGCATGAGCAGTCACTTCTTTTCCTGGAGCTCGAATCTGTGTACAATATATTGCGTTATATACGGTCTATCCATTCCTCCATCCCTCTAACCTATTGGCCCCCTCTACCCGGACAGTATTAGTATGGCCTTACTACCGAATAACCAAGCCTTTTATACAAGAATACGAACAATACCCATGGGCAGCCCTACATAACCCAACCCAGCCCAACTGCAGCAGCAGCAGCAGCAGCTACCCTCCCTACCCGAGTTGAGGGACAGAACCATCCTTGCAAACGGGCGGTGGAAACCACGGCTCCACATGCATCGGTGGTAGCGCTCCCGCCACGCGCTCCGCCTTGACAAAGATGGGGATCACGCCGCCGGTCTCCAGCGCGAACGCGCGATGGCCCGTGATTTGGAGGATGCTGGTAATGGCGCCGGAGTGCGCCGTCAACGACAGAAAGGTGTTGTTGTCGTGGCTGAAAATGTCCTGGAACAGATCCCGGAAGCGCTTGTCGCGGGCCGAGTCGGACTCGCGCAGGCGGGCGTCGTACAGGGGGTCGGCCTCGGCGAAGCCCGGTTCGATGCGGTACAGCGGGTATTCGGCTGCAATGGCGGATTTGGTCGAGCGGCCGTCGCAGGTGTGTTGGCCGATTGTTTCGCGGAGGAGCTTTTTTTGGGGGTGGTTGTGAGTTTGGTTGCGGAGGGGACTAGGGGCTAGGGGGGG